ATATATATATATATACATCTCAGCTTCTAAGTCAGTTCATATGGATTTTCCTCATTTTTAATGACCAGATAGTATTCCATGTATAAATAATCATAATTTAATCATTACCTTATTGAAAATGAGGTATTTTTCTTGGTTCATCTTACCAAGTTTTAAAATCTGTTTTAAGAAGTGTAAAAAAAGGATTTGAAAAATAGAATCATAAGAATGTTTGCGGAAGCAAAAGCTTTTCAAATCATTTTTGTTTCTTGTGCCTTTGAGAAATGGCTCAGGAAGTCCCTGGTCTACCTGAGTTCTTTCCAATTGGACGAAAGAGGAACTCTGGGTCTGAGCAGAGACGTGCCCTGGATATGGTTGTTTTTGCTTTTGCCTTAACAATCTTATTGTGGTCTGATTTTTCTAAACTATGTGAAATTTTGAATAGTTTTGCATTCCACTGGCTCCATTTACTAAAAGAGGGCTCTCTCAATGTGGATTTGTGTCCCACTGTGCAGAATACATGCTAAACTGACTTGATTGGAGTTGTTTTACTGGATATTTCCTTCTATGTCTGTTTGGTTGTTTGCAGTGGGAGTTTCAGCCAGGATTTCGTAAATCCTTGGGCAAATCCTGGGGCTATAATCTCATCAGTATGCATAGTTGAGTGATTACATCTTTGTTCCTGTAACTTTCACCCTTTGGAGGCTCCTGAGAGAACTGGCATGAATATATTACCGAATCAAAGGTACAGTTTGTCACTGCTGTTCCAGGTCTCTTGGCGTAACATGGGCTAGTGCTGCAGAGTTTGGATGTCTTAAAAGAGAAGGTTCTGATTCCACACTAGTCAAAGGAATATGTCTAGCTCTCCCTCCACTCCCAATTCTGAAATAGAAAAAAACAAACCCTGAGGGATTGAGTCCTCCATTTTATTCAGACCTTAGAGCTTCACTGAGATAGTTGTTCTGCTAAGGTCTTCAGTGTGGGAGATAGTCAAGGAAAACAAAAGTCAAAAAGGCTTAGAAAGGGCCATTATTTTGGCTTATCCCTCTTACCACTGTTTTGCTTAAATCTTTTAAAAAGTAAATATTTTAAGATCATAAAAGTAATAAGTAGTTCTTGTAAATAAGTCTGAGAACATAAGAGCATATAGTGAGAAGTGAACACATCCCATCCCTACCCATCATGGCAGAATCCAGTTCCTTCCTTTGTGTGTTCTTTGAGATTTCCATGCATGCGTGCCAATATACTTTTTTAGCAAAAGTATTTATACTATGTATTATATTTATACATAACCAATTACCTCAAAAGGTAATAACTTAAAACAACAGAAAGCATTTACTAACTCAAAAAGTTTCTCTGGGTCCTGAATTCAGGAGCAGTGTGGCCAGATGGTTCTGGCTTGGGATCTCATGTTGCAGTCATCGGAAGGCTTGATTGGGTCTGCACGATCCACTTCCAGTGTGGCCCTCTCACAGGACTGGCAAGTTGGCACTGGACATTGAAAGGAAGGCTCAGTTCCTCTCCATGTGGGCGTCTCCATAGAGCAGCTCGGGTGACCTCATAACACAAAGGTTGGCTTCCCCCAAAATGAATGATCCTAGAAAATAAGGAAGAAGCCTTTTAGAACTAAACCTCAGAAGTCACACAATGTCATTTCTACCATACTGTATTGGTCACACAGACTAGCTCCAATTCAATTTGAGAGAAGATTTCATAAGTGCATTAGGAGGCAAGGATCATTGGGGGCCATATTGAAGCTGGCTACCACAATATGTATATTGTAAAAAAAAAAAAAGAAAGAAATAAAAATAAAAATGGAGCCAGAGCTGCCATGCCAGAAGAACTGCCTTGCATGTCTTATACCTCAAACCTTTGGAATGTTAAAACAGGACAAAATAACCTTTAGACTGGGTTTAAAGCAACCATGTGTCCCAAAGAACTGCAAAGATAGCAAGAAAGTAGATATGACAACCAGACTGATTATTATTGGACAGAAAATTAAAAACATTTAGAATTAACATCACTATATTATGTTATCTGCACCAATAGAAATGCCTTCCTTCTGTTGATATAATTGATCCCCTTTGTCATAAATACTCATTGCCTTTGTCTCTTAATTGGAACAGGGCTACTGCCTGAATCAGTTCGCCCTGAATAGCTGTTTTTGATCCCAAATAAATGCTTGTTGCCTCTCACTCTGAAAGGCCCTTTTAGGGTAACAATATGAACATATCTTGGATATTATTTCCATATTAGCATTTACAGATTGACCTCATTATTTTAAATAAATGTATCCATTGTACAGATATACTATAATTTAAGGAATCCTCTAGCTTTTAGGTAGCTTCTGGTTTTTTGCTATATTTGTATAGCAAATATTTGAGTGAATCTTTTTATATTTTTACATACTTGTTCATTCAATATTCTTCCACCATGTACTATGTGCCAAGTCATATTTAAGTCAGTGAGTGATATTGTGTAGAACAAAATAGACAAGAACCCTGTTCTCATGGTTTTACTTTCTAATTTGAAAGAGATTGAAAAGAAACATATCCAATAGTAGTAGATTCTAAGAAAGGGTAAATGCTATTTTGTATTAGGGGATCAGAGAAGGTTTCTAAGGAGGCAAAATTTAAGTCACAGCATAAAGGACAAGAAAGCCAGCCATGGGAGGATCCCAAGCATGGGCTTTGTGGGAACGAATGAAGAGGAGAGTATGAATGAGTGGAGAGAATAGCAGGTGCTGCAGGACTTGTAAGGAGTAAGGAGCTTGACTTTCATTCTAGGTGGGATGCCATAAGCTTGTTTTACTGGTAATTTTAAAAGTCACTGTTTACTATGGAATAAGGGTTATAGAAGGGCAAGAGGAGAAGCAAGAACAGGAGGAAATTCTACCAGTCCAAGCAAAAAATGATGTTGGCTTAAATTAGGGTGATGATAGTGATGGAGAGAAGGGAACTAATTTGGACAATGTTTTGGAAGTAAAGTTTTCAGATGTGAGGAAAAGAGGAATCAAGGAATTAATGATCATGCCTAGATTTTTTGCTTGATGGGTGATGGTAAAATAATGAGTAAGCAAGTTTGGGGGTTGAGAGTCAAGAGTTTTCTTTTGGCCATGGCATTTAGAGTTTGAGATGCCTGTTAGACATCCAGGTAGAACTGTTGTGCAGGGCATTTGGATATCTGGATTTATTTTTTTATAATGCTCATGGCTGGAAATACAGATTTGAGTCTTTGCATATCACTGGAACTTTCAAAGCAAAGGTCTTGGTGAGATGCCCTGGGGGAGAGAATATAGATAAAGAGAAGGAGGCCAAGGTCAGAGGTCTTTGGTACTTACAACCTTTTGAGCAGAAAAGGAACCAGTAAAAGAGACAGATGGACTGGTCACGGGGAAGGGAAGAAAGTCCAGAGAATATGCTGTCAGGGAAGCCAGGGGCATAAAGGAGAGAATGGTCAATCAAGTGTAATATTACTAAGAGGTCAAGTGAGATAGAGAAGTGACCGCTGGATCTTACTATGTGGTATATTGGTGACCTTGACCAGACCAGCAGTCTCAGTGGTGTGGTAGAGATAGAAAGCCAGAATTGGGGAAGAGAAGGGGTGTTCAAGAAAGAATGAGAAATAAGGAAGTGGACGTAGTGATGGTAGATGATCTCGTATGACAAGTGTAATGGTGAAAAGGAGCAGAGGATTGTGGGGCAAGAGAAGCCAAGGGAGTGATTCTGTTATCTTAAGAATATGGAGATGAGTGTTATTCAGCAGAGAGATACTAATGATGGAAGTGTCTAGATATACTGTTTTTCTAGAAGTAGAATTTCTGGGTTAAAGGATACGCGTTATTATTTTGATCGTGACAAATTGCCCTCTTGAGATGACGCACCAGTTCACATACCTGTGGACAATGTGCCTGTTTACCCACACCACTGTGAACACTGAGTTGTCATGGTCTTAAACACTTGTCAGTCTGAACTTCACAAATTTTGAGTATAATGATCATGCAGAGCTATGAGCATCTTGGTAAAAATGAAGCTATGTTTTTCCTCCTTTATTTACTTTTGCATTTTGGGCATATTTTTCTCCTGCAACTCCTCACGACTAAGGCAGTGACATTCGAAAGGTGCTGGCCTTGGGGAAATTCAATCTCATTTCTTTTTGTATTATCTCTGGAAGTAAACCCAAATTTTTCTTCTGGGTGGGCTACAGAAATTTTCTGTTCCATTTGGAACACCCTTTGTTCTTTTGTGGTGAATTTGAAGGCATGGTTGTAGCAACTACAGCTGGTACCTAAGAGATTGGAGTCTGAGCCCTGGAGATGAGAGATTAATTCTCAGCATTTCCAGGTCTTGACCTAGGTCCAAGCTCCTCACCCCAGCTCTACCATGTAGCCTAGGGTAAATGACTTAAGTCAATAAAAGGGTTTAATTATAGCTTCTGTGTAGCACTGGGTAGATAGATTTAATTACTTAATCCCAAGAAAGTAGTTTTAGCCAAGCCTTGTGTTCTGAGCTCTTCCAGAAGCCACTTGGGTACTGGAGAGAACTGTGTCTAGTTCCTATTCTTGACAATTTTTCCCTCCAACCAAAGAGTATTGTAAAGGGGGTACTTTGT